TCTAGGAATTGTTTGCGATTTGCAAGAGGGAATCCGAGTGAAATGCTGGTGAATTTGGTGGTAGCAATACTCCTGGCCGCTTCATGGGACAGAAATCCAGGACAGAATTAACTTTATTGTTGAACCACCCTGAACGTCAGAAAAATTTTGGAAGTGGAAAATGTTGCCAACAGTCTTGGGTATATGCCTGATCCCAAACGAAATGTTTCGAAATTTTTGTTAACTTATAAGAATCTTATTCTCGATACATTCTATCATACAAAAGCTACTTAGATTATCAAAACTAGGTTTTTGATTTTGTTGTTGTGTATTCTCTTTTTTCTGTTTAGTTGTTCCATAAAAAAAAGTAGAATCCCTTTCACATACATACAGAACGCTTTTATAACCCAAAAGTCGTTCCCCTAGAACCACCTTGTCAGTGTAATAGTATGTATGGAATTGCCCGTGGTCTGCATTTGTATTTAATTCTACGGTTTTTATTTGTAAATATAAATCATATATGAAAATATTTTTGAAAAGCGTCAGTCCAAGGACACTGCCTTGTGGTACTCGTCTTTTCATCTCTTCATCTTTGGCCATTCTGAAAAACTATTGAGTATCGTCTCGAACGTCTTCGATAGTCATCGAAGCATTGAATAAGTTGATCTTATTAAGATGAGTACTCTTCTGCTGACTCTTCTACCATTTCTGATCATTCTGACTCGTCGTCAGAGTCCCAGTCGGCCAAAACATTTCCTGTTGATAAACCAAAGAGAAACAGGCTTAAGGCTTTTCAATCCACGTGCACTCCTGTGATAAGTAATTGGGTAATAGACAAGAATCGACAACCTACTATTTGAATGTTTTCTCAAAATTTTTTCTGCACCCGTTCGTAATCCGACAGCGGCCGCCACAAATCTGTAAAACAACATAAGATAAAACATTTATTTCCAAACATTAATCCACAACAGTGTTCAAAATAGAACTAAAGGTGGCTGGCGACAGACTAATCACATAGTGTCTGCGACTGGAACTCTAAAGGAGACTACTGAGCAACAGAAGGGCATTGTAAATTTACTGACTTTCCCAGAGTCCACATCGTTTTTAAGGCGAAGAAGGCAAAGAAATTAATTCCATATTTACTAAGCTTATTCGGTCAGGATAGCCGGATGTTAGCCTTCTTCGTGGTCCATAAGCCATGATGCAAAAAATGTCCAATACTCAACCATCTTAATTGATCTCATGCTTGGTCTGTTATTCCTATATGTCGCCGGAGCATGTTAGACCCGCAATCCACTGGGGTCGGTCGCTCGTCGTGTAGACGTTATAAGCCAAAAAAATGAGTAACGAGGCCACATTGACACATGACTTGAAGAACTTTTAAAAACCAATTTTATAAGAGAAGAGTCGATTTTTCAGGCAGGATTAATTAAAACATTCAGCTCAATTTTTCTTCATATATTATTTCTTTTGAGACTTGGACAGCTGTATTAATCTCCTGTTAAACGGTTTTTTTATTTGTGCTCGTTTTGCGCGTGTTTTGATATCGTTTACTGACTTGACGTTGGGTACTAATTTGACTAATTTGTCGGCTACAGTTTGCAAGAACGCAGCCTATTCTAACATTTATTATAAGATCATTATCATCACGAAACCACAGTAACCAAATGACAATCAAAGAGTTTGCTTCTTGGGTCGGGGAAAAAATGCTTATCAGTTGGAAAAATTATCGTGCACATACTTGTATGCAGGGCTCTTTGAATCACCCATCTTTTTTTCCGTGCAGTTTTTACTCTTTAGTTTTGGTGGTCTTTTAGGGTGTTTTTCCTCTTTAGCCTCAACCTTGCTTTCCATGGTTTGTACAAGCCGTCTTAGTGCGTCGATCTCGTCCTTGTTCTTCATATATAGTTGTCGCAGTACCACCATGTCATCCCGCAGTCCCTTGATGTCATTCCGCAGTCCCTTGTTTTCCACTTCAAGCCTCAGCTCGCTTATTTCTCCGTAATTTCTGTGCAATAATCTTTGCATGTACTCTTTATCAAGTTCCACTTCTTCCAACCTGTTCAATCGCTCTGTTGTCTTTAAGAGTTTAGACCATGTTTTGCTTAGGTGTTCCTCCATCGAGGCCTCAAGGTGAGCTTTTAAGTTTCTCCTTTTGTCCTATGAAGGTTTTATTGAATCTATTGAGCTAACTGCGATGTGAAATCAGGTGTTTTTACAAAACGCGGTAACGTCTACCTTAGGAAAACTGTATATGAGTACTTTGAAAAACTAACGCTGCTTAGATTGAAAAGACTTTTTTCAATAACTTCAATGCTGGGGCCTTCTTCAGTCGACACCTAACTCGCTGAAGTCATGGAAACGTTTAACTACGTAGATCTTTTTAGCAGTGCTTACTCCGGTTTTAGGCACGTTAAAGAGAGGATGACCTTTAGAAGTCGTTTCTAGGATGCCAGATATTAGTAATTAGTTGCAAGGTCTTTGTTTCTCTTTTTTTTGTTTGTTTGTGGTTGTTGTTGTTTTTTTTTTTCTATAATTAAGTAATTACATTGTATTGTAACTCCTTAAGTAACGTAATGTGTAAGTCATAATAAGTAATTAATGCGTATTGTAAGTAA